GCAGATGTGCATGGCATACAATCACCTTGTTTCTTCAGTTTGTTTAGTTAAGATTTGAAAATGAAAGAGAGAAGCTGATTGGTTGCCATGCACAGCTGCTCCAGTTTTGATAAATTCCCCTCATAGAATTATGTAACCTGGAGGGTAGCAGATGGGAGGACAGCTCTGACTCCTGTTTGAACAGCTCTGATGCCAGCTAGAGGTAGGTGGGACACAGGTGATCCACAAGAACCCATCCTCACCAAGTCTTTCCTCTACGTAGTCATCACCTTTACCTACCCACATCTCCACCAATACCTATCCATCACCTCTACCTTCTCATCATTGCTACCTACCCACATCTCCACCTACTCATCACTGATACCTGCCTATCATCTCCACCTTACCATCACCTCTATCTTCTCATCATCTATACCTACTCATCACTTTTTCCTAAATGTCACCTCTACATACCCACATCTCCACCAATATTTACCCATCACCTCTACCTCCTCATTACCTCTATATACCAACATCTCCACCTACTCATCACTGATACATACCCATCACCTCCACCTCATCATCTCCACATATCTATCACCTCTACATCTCCACCTACTCCTCACCGATATCTACCCATCACCTCTACCTTCTCATCATCTCTTCCTACCCATCCCTTCTAGCTTCTCATTATCTCTACCTACCCATCCCCTCTACCCTCTCATTATCTCCAGCTACCCATCACCTCTACCTTCCCATCATCTCCACCTACCCATCACCTCTACCTATCCCACATCTCCGCCAAAACCTACCCATCTGCTCTACCTACCACTGTTCCACCAACTTAACACCAATACCAACCCATCACCTGCCTATCATCACCACCTACACATCACCTCTACTTTCTCATCCTCTCCAGCTACCCATCACCTGTATCTTTCATAGCATTTCCACTTACCCATAATCTCCACATACCCATCACCTCCACCTTCTCATCATCTCCACATATCTATCACCTCTACATACCTACATCTCCACCTACTCCTCACCGATATCTAACCATCACCTCTACCTTCTCATCATATCTTCCTACCCATCACTTCTAGCTTCTCATCATCTCTACCTACCCATTCCCTCTACCCTCTCATTATCTCCAGCTACCCATCACCTCTACCTTCCCCTCATCTCCACCTACCCATCACCTCTACCTACCCACATCTCCACCAATACCTACCACCGCTCCACCAGCTTAACACCAATACCTACCCATCACCTGCCTATCATCACCACCTACACATCACCTCTACTTTCTCCTCTCCAGCTACCCATCACCTGTACTTTCATAGCATTTCCACTTACCCATCACCTCTACCTTCTCATCATCTCTACCTACCAATCATCTCCAACTATCCATTACTTCTACCTACCTATCATCTCCATCTACCCATCACCTCTTTCTATCCATCATCTCTACCTACTTATCATCTCCAACCATCCATGAGCTACCTGCCAATCATCTACACCTATTCATCATTTTCACCTACCCCTCTTTCAACTTATCTACAGCTACCCATCATCTTCACCTACCCCTGTATTCACCTGCCTGCCACACACAGCTACCTGACATTTCTACCTGCCATGTTCATCTGTCCTTCATCAACTACAGGCCATGTGTGAGTTGTTCTCAAGCATGAAAAGTAGGTGCTTGCACCCCATAATCAAGAGCAAATTAAAATCTATGACAGTAAGAACATTTAGTGGTTTTGATACCAGTTTACTGATTAGCATATGTATCGTTCCAAGGAAAAGCCCTCAGTAAAACTTTGTCACTGGTATACTTAAGATACACAAGCTGGTGACTGATTAAGGCTTTAGCAAATCACCCCCTTTGATTACCGCAAATATTTACCCAGATTTTAAAAGACCAATACAGGTTTAGATACACAGAGACTGTGGTGGGCTGTCAGTATAAGGAGACTATTGTAAGACCGGTACCTATAGGTTACATGTTATACCCATTATGTTCTTCATCTACTGTATATATGGATGAAGGTGAGGGGAGGAATATGGAAGTGGCCATTGCTGACTTGTAAGGAAATATGGGACTGGCCATTGCTGACTTGTAAGGAAAAAACGGGAGTGGCCATTGCTAACGTGTAAGGAAATACGGGAGTGGGCATTACTGACTTGTAAGATCATATGGGAGTGGCCATTACTGACTTGTAAGATCATATGGGAGTGGCCATTACTGACTTGTAAGGAAATATGGGAGTGGCCATTGCAGACTTGTCAGGAGAGGAATATGGAAGTGGCTATTAAAGATTTGCAACTGACTTGGCCTATGAAGATCTCCCATTCTGTGTGCTTGTTTCGGGTCAGTGGCTATTCATGTATATATGTCAGGATCAATATGATAGCCCTGGAACTTGTACAAAAAAAAAAAAGACATCAGCACTGGCAGCCTAATTTTCCATCCTTGTAGGTTCCCTCTAAAAATATTCTATTGACAACCATTTGTAATGGTTGTGAATACAAGATGGGGTATTTTGCCTGCTGCCCTGTATTTAATCATCAGGTGCAATAGTGTCTCACAGCAATAAGTGGCAAAATATAAGATGATCTATTCTATCCTAAGGCAAAGGCTTGCTCATATCGGCAGTAGAAAGCAGCTTCTCATTCCAATTTGCACATCCAGCGTGTCCTTCTACTTGGTAGAATACGGTACTCTCCGCTGTCACATTCAGACAAATCTGGAAGCCGAGCAAGGAAGTTCAAGGATTGTGTGAATGCAAATTCTTCTGCTAAGAAATCAAGCTTGATCAATGCAGAGCAGAAAAAATGGTAAGCTTGGTATGGATCTCTAGATAGATAAAGGAGCGCGGCTGAATTAAATGTATCTAGAAGAGCTCAAGATGGACGGGGGGAGGGATAAAACATTCTTTTAATAAAAAGTGTACCATACAAGTAGAGTGTTCTGTGTATTAGGAATGTGGTTGAGCTATAGAAACATTTTTGGATTTGGAATTCTGTCCAGTCAGTGATGAATGACACCAATTTCTCTGTTAGCACCCTAATGACCTGACAAGTCACTTTGCTTTCTGCTTATATCAGCATGATGCCCGATAGCTGGTGTGCATGCAGCAGAACCTGATTGGCTCCTAGTGCTGTCCCCTCCCAGCCACCCATTAGTGCTGCTGTGTAAGTGATTCCAAGTTGATAATATTGAGATTACTTACTGGCTGCCATTGCCAGTCCCCCTTCTGAAGATCCTAGTAGTCTGGCTAGTACGCTGACTAACTGGGCTCAGTAAGGTGGGCACTGGCCTGGAACAAGTATGCATAGCTGTAAAGTCAAGCCTCCTTAAGCTGGTCATACACTGTCTGTTATCTCCGGTTCATCCCCATGGGCATAGTGATACCGAATTCTAACGGCATTTATGGACAAACCCCCCACCCACCCTGACAGCATGTATGGGCAAACCCCCCATCCACCCAATGTTCATATACTGTACTGCCATGTTCATAACACTCTCCTTTGTACAATGACAAGCCTGAATGATCCATTGATGTGGTAAAGGCAGCAGAGGCTGAACTGCAGGGGGTCCGATAGCTTTCCCCCCTAAAGGGCTTGTTGGCCACTTCCCCTCTGTTGTCCACACCGAGGAAGCCACAAGCCCTCTCAACATCATTGTAGTATATGCAGCACTTCTATCTGGGCACATGTCTAATATTACACTACCATAATATGACAGCGGAGGGGTAACCCTAAGCAACCTGATTATCTGTGGCCCTAATTACTGCTCAGTGCTGGGTTGTACCCCAGTAATAGTGAGGTCAGTCTGGCGGTAATGAAACATTGATGGAGCCACTCGTGTATCAGCACTGGTCCATGTGTGAAGAACATCCAATCTATGAATTATGTATAGTTAGAGCACTTCTCCCTGGCAGCACTGGGGTCCTGGTTTTCAAACGCAGGTCAGGACTCTATCTGCATAGAGTGTGCACGTCCTCTGCCACACTCCAGAGACCTTACATTGGTTTTCGTGCATTCCTGTAAAATTCTATGGGGCCACAATCACATATTTTACATAGTGTCACAGATGAGAATGAACCCCATAGCCAGTCATAGGATTCCTTTGCCTATACCCATAGAGATGGCTTAGATGGTGAGCGTGTTGCCAGCACTGCACGGACAGCCTTATCTCTAGCACAGGGTGTGTATACAGAGCCGAGCGATACACCCAGATATAATCCCCGAGCCGCTCCACAGGAAGGGAGCTCCGACATTACACGGAGGAAGAGCACGAGCTAGGTAATGAGGACATGACTGCGAGGGAGGGGGATGGGCGCGGAGTAATTGCCGCCTGTCTCGGCGGTGTCAGTTGGACATCACACATTAGCAGCTGCTGCCAGCTCGTTATATTGGCTCAGGCGGAGCGGCGTGTCACATCGCTCTCCTTTCCCCCCCCTTGGTCCGAGCCCCCCGTACAGGTGTATAGCAGTGTGCACACTCCGCCGGGCTTCCCCTCCGCTATCGCCTTCTCCAGCACAGCCACAGCAGCCGCCGCCGCTCCCCGGCTAACACCAGAGGAGGAGAAGGAAGGAAAGAGAGGAGGGGGAGGAGGCTGGCGCTGCTCCTGCTGCCACCTCCCACCGCTCATCTTTCTTCTTTCCTGGGGGCTTCGGAGATTGACCTCGCTAACCCACCCCCCGCCCGGCGCCTCCTCCTCCCCCCCTCCCAGGCAGGGGAGGGACCGCATCGTTCTCCGCGGCTCCACTGCGTGCAGACCAGCCTGCAAATAACAATAATAAACTTTGCTGCGATCGCTGCGCGTCTACACGGAGGAGGAAGAGGACGGGAGCCATCCGTACACGTCGGGGCTGAGGAACGGATCTCCGCACAAAGAGGATTTATTAATTTCCCTGGAATTATGCTGCTACTGGCCTGCTTTTATCATACTGGGATTTACACGGAGGAGCGCTGCCGGACACGCTGCTCGGCTTTATAAAGATTCACATCGAGCGGAGCGAAACATCCCCGGGACTGCAGGTGAGATACAGGACACACGATGGTACGAGAGGGGAGACCCGGGAGGGCTCATTGAAGAGCTTGATGGGGATCGGGGGATGACTGAGAAAAGGTCTCCTTATATTTATGTATCACATTTGAGGATCGGTCCGTATACAAGGACTGAATGGGGTATATATAGGGAGTCTCAGTATAATATAAATCGCACTGTGAGGATCGGAGTTTTGTAGCGCTGGATAGAGATCGGTCCGTATACAAGGACGGGATGGGGTATATATGGTGGGGTCTCAGTATAATATACATCGTACTGTGAGGATCGGAGTTTTATAGCGCTGGATAGAGATCGGTCCGTATACAAGGACTGAATGGGGTTCTTAGTATAATATACTTCGTACTGTGATGATCGAAGTTTTGTAGCGCTGGACAGGGATCGGTCCCTATACAAGGATTGAATGGGGTATATATGGGGAGTCTTTGTATACTATACATCGCACTGTGATAGCACTGGACAGGGATCGGTCCACCGGATGGAGTATATATGGTGGGGTCTCAGTATAATATACATCGTACTGTGATGATCGGAGTTTTGTAGCGCTGGATAGGGATCGGTCCGTATACAAGGACCGGATGAAGTATATAAAGGGAGTCTCAGTTTAATTTATATCGCATTGTGATGATCGGAGTTTTGTATAACTGGACAGGGATCGGTCCGTATACAAGGACGGGATGAAGTATATATGGAGATTCTCAGTATAATTATACCTCGCAGTGTACTGATCGCAATGTGGAGCGCTGGATGCGCAGTGAGGAATAGGGATCGCTGAAAAGTCTGTTGTAGAACGGGAAGTCTCAATGGAATCTGCACTGTCTACTAATGTGTGGGGGGTCTCGGTGTGTGTAAGATGGATATATATCGGTATATATATATATA